CGTGCCCCTGCAGTGGAAGCGCGGATTCCTAACCCCTGGACCGCCAGGGAATTCCCAGCTAGTTCCTTATTGTCAGGTCTCTACACAAAGGTCACACCTGATCAGAGAGGCTTTACCTGAGAACACGGTAGCAGCCCAACTCCTCACCTCCTTACATACTTTATTTTCTCTGTAGCATGATCACTACTTAACATTCTATTAGATACTTATTGAATATCTGTTTCCTGTCACTCTCGAATATTGGCTTTGCTAGGGATCTTTGTTCTATTCATAACTGAGTGCCTCATTGGGACCTGGCACACAATAGTTGGTCAATAAATGTTGACTACGTCGATAAAAACAGCCAGGGGTTTGTAGACACACAGTCTGAGACCCTCATGTGCTGTGTCTCTCCCCGAAGAGCTTCTCCATGTTGGGCACTGGTGGTGGTGGGGGGGGGGGCGCGTATCACGGTCAAGAACAGAGAGGTGGTGACCTTGGACCTCTGAAGTCATGGTCCAGTAGGGGAGATGAATGTGAATGAAATAACCCTGGACCAGTAGAGAGGTGAAACTTCTGGTAGGTTCTAAGAGAGAGATGAGCAAAGAGCTGAACTAGAGCCTGACGTGGGGTGGGGGGGGGTGTCCATTTTAGGCTGGGTGGTCAAGGAAGGGGTCTCTGAAGATGTGGTGTTGGGGCAGAGCCCACCCCGACTCCAGTGATGTGAAGGCAGCAGCTATGGGAGACCTGGGAGAGGGTGTTCTGAGCCAAGCAAGGGGGGTACTGAATGAGTCAGGGATCCGAGGGCTGAGGAATCTGGACCCAAGCCTTCCCCACAGGCTCACTCAGGAGAGTCAAAGGGGGTCTCAGAGGGGCTCGCCTTCCCAGGGCCAGTGGACCTGCAGGCCTCACTCACCCCTCACAGCAGGGACCACCCCTGCCCACTCTGCATCTCACCCATCCTTGATGCCCCCCCTCCTCCCTCCCTCCCTCACTCCCTCCCTCCCAGTGAGTACTGGTGGCCTGTGTGTCCTGGCAAGAGGGGTAGAGCTCAGCGTCTCCCATGTGGCTTTTGGCTTCAGGTTGGGGACACACTTTGGTGGGTTAGAGAGATCTTGAAAGGGAGGGGGGAGGACACAGTAGGGACTGGTGTGTGGAAGGATGCAGGACGGGGACATCCTGTAGGCAAGGGTGGAGCTGCCAGATAAAGGGCCCACTAGTGTGTGTATCACCGTGGGCCAACTTGTGCCACCTATGTGTCTTTCATGTGTGTCTGTATCGTGCATGTGCATGTGTCCTGTGTGTACATCAACACGTGTGTCTATTGGTGGATGTGCGTCTGTCAATGTCTTGCTGTCTTGTGTGTGGTCTGTGTGTCTCGTGATTGTCGGCACATATGTGTCTGCTGATGCGTCTCTGGCCGTGCCGCGAGGCATGTGGGATCTTAGTTCCCTGACCAGGGATTGAACCTGTGCCCCCTACAGTGGAAGCGTGGAGTCTTAACCACTGGACCCCCGGGGAAGCCCCACTGTGTGTATCTTTCTGAACGTGTTGTCTGTCTCTGCGTGTGGTGGCTGTCACCCTGTATGGGGTGCTGTAATGAATGTTGCTAATTCCCAGGTGGTGCCTGTGTGTGTCCCTCAGAACCCCACCGAGAAAACCCCTCCCCCACATTCCTGGGCCGGGGGAGAGGCGGGTGAGGGCACGCAAGGTGGGACCCTGAAGCCACAGTGCCCCTTATCTGAGAAGTTCTGCTCTTTATTGTCACTGCTATTAACAATATGAGTTTCACAGCCATGAGCATTTCCTGAGGGAGTAAGGTGCTCAGCCAAGCCTGGCTGAAGCAGGGGCCAAGGAGGGGGCCAGTGACCCCGTGAGCCAGGAGCTCTGGGGCCTGAGTCCTGGGTCTTCCACCTGGGGTCTCTGAATGGGGAGGGGCAGAGAGGAGGCAGGCTGGACCCCTCAAGACCCAAGCTCTTTCCCCTAGGAGGCCTTCAGCCCATTCTTCCCCTGGAGAAACTGAGGCAGGACAGGCTCGGCTGGGTGAGGAAGGGCTTACCCTTCCTGAGGTGGGACTGGGTGGGGACCCAGCAGCACCCCACATCTGCCACACAGCCTCTTGGGCTGGACACTTTTCCTGGGCACCAGCCAGCAGCTGGAGCACCGGGTGCCATATTTCTTGTACCTGGGATGGGGGTGCAAGAAACCAACATTCAGCAGGCAGCAGGGGCCCAAAAATCACCACGAGTGAGCCACGTTCCCCAAGAGGTGGGTGTTTTCTCTTCCCCAAACCCCACACTGGCTACGCGTGGACTGATGCGAGGACCCCACCCCAAATCCCTCCTCCATTCTGAGGACCTGATACCACAGGCATTGCAGAGGGGGGTCCCATCTTCGGCATCTCTCCAGAGTGGGGTCCTCTGGGTCCTACAGGAAGCACAGCGTCGGGGCCCTGAAAGGGAAGAGGCCAAAGGGCAAGGGTCAGAGGCCAAGAGTCCGAGTTCAGGAGGCCTGTGTGGGGTGGGCATTTTGGGGGGGTGGGGTCTCTGTGAAGGCCCCACCCAGCTCCAGGCCAGCCCCGGTGTTGCCAGATCTAAGACAGAGGGAAAGCCAAGAAGGGAGACAGATGGCAAAGCTCAGCAGAGGAAGAAGCCGGGGGTGTGGGTGACTCAGCCTGAGTGGAGGGGGATGCTGAGACTCCTCCTGGATGGGTCTAAATAGGGAAGCGGGATGGGGAGAAAGACAAGGAAGAAATGAAACTGTACCCCCCCCCCAAGTATTTATAGCTCTCAAGTCTCCAGGACTCACCCAGAGCATCGCTGCCTCTTGCGTTGGCCTCTGGGCCTCTGGCAGGGCCTGGTGGGGGACCCTGAGAGCGGGTGCCGCAGGCCAGGCTGGGGAGTAGACAAGGTGTTAGCACCGAGGGTCTGTCTGTATGCTGTCCCAGATAGCCCCCAATTGAAGATTTACAATCAGGCAACCCCCAAGGAGGCATCTGATGTCTGAAAGGCCTGGCCTTCCACCTCATTAATATCACAGACATAATCATTTGAAAAGACAGTAAGCCTGGGGCCAGCCTGTCAGGTTTGTTTTTGTTTTGTTTTGCTATTTTTTTTTGGCTCCAACAAGCAGCTTGTGGGAATTTAGTTCCCCGACCGTGGATTGAATCCTGGCCCACGGCAGTGAAAGTCCACGTCTTAACCACTGGACGGCCAGGGAATTCCCCAGCCTGCCAGGTTGAAAGCTCAGCTCTCCCACGTCTTTGCCGTGTGACCAAGGACAAGAGATCTCATCCTCTGCGCCTTAGTTTCTGCATCTGTAAAGTGGGCCTCGCGGGGTTCAGAGAGCCCATACACACCAAGTGCTACCTGTTACCTCTATTACTGTTGTCATGTCTGACAAACGGTAGCTATTATCATTGCTGGAAAAACTAACAGAAGCAGCAGCTGCGGATGTGGTCAGGCCTCTTAGGAGGAGACCCAGGCTCAGACCTGGATGTGACTGGCTCATAGCAGCAGGGACAGGGACTGACACCAGCCTGAGGTCTCGCTCAGAGATGGGGCCATTTGTAAGGCACGGCTGAGGTGGGAGTCCATGACGGCATTCCCGGGAGCACCTGC